ATCCAAGCAACCAGCCAAAGTAGGTCAGTTTTTCCTTGTTGTTCCGGCTGATTGTCGTAACATCATTCTCTCTGTAGCTCACGAGAGCCCCCTAGCAGGGCACTTCTCTCATAGAAAGACATATATGAAGATTTCTGATCAATTTTACTGGCCAGGAATGGGAGCGGATATTAGGGCCTTTTGTAGGAGTTGTGATCGGTGTCAGCGTATGTCCGCCAAAGGTAGAGTCCGTCCTGTTCCTCTTAAACCCTTACCCATTATTACTGAACCATTTTCTCGGGTTGCCATAGATTTGGTTGGACCACTTTCACCCCCTTCCTCTGCGGGGCACAGGTATGTACTCACGTTAATTGATTTCGCCACCGGGTTTCCAGAAGCCTTGCCCTTGAAGGAAATTGATTCTATTTCTGTGGCCGAAGCATTGCTTGTGATCTTCTCTCGCGTAGGCATACCACGGGAAATTCTGTCCGATAGGGGGACTCAGTTTACCTCTCAGTTGATGGCGGAGCTTCACAAGTTGCTGGGAGTTAAGCCTTTATTTACCACCCCTTTTCACCCTAGTGGTAATGGACGAATTGAGAGAATGCATGGGCCCCTGAAAGCGTCGCTGCGGAAATTGTGTGCCGACAAACCCAGGGAGTGGCACCGGTATCTTGTCCCCACTTTATTTGCGCTGAGAGAAATTCCTAGCGACCGGACCGGGTTCTCGGCGTTCGAGTTATTATACGGCCGAGCCGTGAGAGGCCCGCTCTCGGTGTTAAGGGATCTGTGGGAGGACACCAGTATAGAAGACGACGAGCGGACTCACTACCAGTATGTCCTTGAATTACGGGACAAACTTTGACAGTGTGCCAAGATCGCCGCGCAGAATGCTGACATTAGTAACACCAAATATAAGGCCTATTTCGACGTCAAATCACAAGATCGTCAATTTATTCCGGGGGATGAAGTGTTAGTGCTCTTGCCTGATAAGAAGAGCAAGTTGCTTGTTTCCTGGAATGGGCCTTACAAAGTCCTAGAGAAGCGGAGTAGGGTAAATTACGTCATTGACGAACCAAAGGGGCCTAAGTTATATCATGCTAATTTATTAAAGAAATACCATCGCAGGGCCCACCTTAACTTTGCTCATGTCCTAGATAACGATTCTAAGCTAGAGTCAGTCGAGGCACTACCCTGCGAGGAGTCGGGAATAATTCCGGCACCAGACTCGGATGATCTCGGTTGCCAGCTACCGATAACACCAGATGGCATAGTAGAATCCCCTTCGACTGACGATGGGCCCGCACTTAAACCTGGATTGGAGAGGAACCAACGTGCTGACATTGAGGACTTGATTACTAACTTTGAGGATGTATTCTCAAACGTCCCGGGATGCACATCCACTGTACACCATGACATCCTCCTCACAACCACTCAGCGTGTGCAGGCCAAAGTTTATCCTGTCCCTATTCATCTCCAGAGTTATTTTGAAGAAGAGGTCGACCGTCTACTTGAGCAGGGAATCATCCAATTGTCGTCGTCCCCTCACTGCTCTCCGGTGGTTATGGTGCGTAAGCAGGATGGTACTTTTAGGATGGCCATTGACTACAGGGCATTAAATGCGGTAACTGTCTTTCATGCCGAGCCCGCCTGTTCTATGGAGGAAGACTTGCACAAGTTCTCAGGGGCGAAGTACTTCTCGGAGTTGGATCTATGTAAAGCTTACTACCAGGTACCCTTAACTGAACGCGCAAAACCACTAACTGCATTTCCTACTCGTAGAGGATTGATGGAATTCTGCCGGCTTCCTTTTGGGCTGGTGACTGCTTGTGCCACGTACATCAGGCTGATGCGCCTCGTCCTTGCCGGTTTGCCTAGAGTTTCTTTTTATTTTGACAACATTTTCATATATTCCTCAGATTGGCAAGAACATCTTGGCGACGTTAAAGCTGTCTTGGAGAGGTTAAGGGAACATACTTTGACGATAAAGCCATCTAAGTGCCGCTTTGGATTTGAGTCTATTCATTATCTTGGATTCGTGCTAGATGGTCGGCATCTTCGTCCCCAACCTGAGAAAATACAAGCCCTTTGTGAGGTGTGTCCTCCTACTACTAAGAAACTCCTCCGTAGTTTTCTTGGTATGATCTCTTTTTATAAAGCTTTCATTCCCCAGGCATCTGAGTATACCGGACCCTTATCTGACCTGCTAAGGAAAGGCCACCGGGAGCCTCTTGTCTGGAACGACGACCTGCTGGCCAGATTTAATCGTCTCAAGAATTCGCTATCCACGCAGCCCATCCTCAAACTGCCTGATCAACACTTAACCTTCGTTCTTAGGACGGACGCCTCCAGTCATGGCCTAGGAGCCGTCCTCCTCCAATATGTTCAGGCATGTCCTCACCCAGTGGCCTATGCCAGTAGGAAGTTACTAGATAGGGAGAGGAGGTACTCCACCATTGAACGTGAGTGTCTAGCCATTCTGTTTGGGGTTTTGAAATTTGATTATTACCTGAGAGGAAAAGAATTTATCCTTGAGGTAGACCACAAACCCTTGTTGTATTTAAATACATTCAAGGGGGCAAATGACAGATTGTTACGGTGGGCTCTAAGTCTGCAGGGGTATAGATTTCGTGTGGTCCACGTCGCCGGAAAGGACAACCTTGGGGCAGACCTTTTGAGCAGATCCACTGTGTAGCATTTGTTGTAAGATGATTATGCTTTGTGTACTAATCTTACGTTTTAATCTACCTTACAGTAGATTTTTGTTGGGGGAGCAGTGTAAGGGCGGAAACGATCCTCCGGCTGGTTACCGCTGCTAACTCGCTCGTTTGCTGGTGCAGACGACACTTGGGGTGGTTGGACGGAGGTGAGAACGGCAGCAACTATCTCCGCCACCGGCAGATTCAACCCAGCCGCCATACCGTCAGTATCTAGCTACCCTGCTGTCCGTCAAATTCTGGCTGTGATCTCATCATAGGTCCTGGACTCGTGGGCTGTGTTCCCAGACCTTCACCTATCAACTGCCAACTCTCTGGTCATCTACCACTACCGCATACCACGACCATCAGTTCATCACATTCCGTCGGTGCCCCGGTGTTCTCCTGCCTTTTCAAGACGTCGCTGAGTGTGGAGTCGAAGTGGACGTTTCGTTACCCTGAGTGTGCATCACCGTGTTCCAGAACCTTCCCCCAGGGCCACTGCCGTAGGAAAATATTTGTTCATGGTTTGATTCTATAATTGTTTGATTCTATTAATTGCTGACTCCCCTGTATTGTTCGATTCTATCAATTGTTGACTCCATTTAATTGTTTGAATCCATTAATTGCTGACTCCCATTATTTGTTTGATTCCTTTAAGTGTTTGCTTCCTTTAATTGTTTGACTCCCGTAATTATTTGATGTTTGTTGAGTGGTGTCAGAATTTTGTGTTATATTTTTATAGTAAAGAGATGCCAATCTCAAACGATTGTTTGTTATTCCTCGGAAAACCATGGTCCTTGACTTTCCTTTATTAAGATCCTGATTAGCCTGGTAAGGGATTTCTATCCCTAAGTCCCAGGCCTTTACATTCAGGAGGAAACTTAACACATCAAATAAAACCCCAGATTCAGCAAATAAATAACTACAGTATCATGGGCTAGGATATCAGATAATAGGGGTATTTGATACTAAACTATTGTACTACAAGATAAGGTATTTACAAAAAAATGCTGATAGGCAAAGAAGTAAAAAAAAATTGCACTGCTTTTCATCTTCAACCCCATTTTATAGACATTTTCCACGCATGTGTGGCTTAACTGTAATTACCTGATGACAAGGGTATACCAGTTTTCATGAGACATACAGGTACGCCTCGACTTACGACCTACTCGACTTATGACCATGCAACCGCCGCAGTCGTATAAAATATTTTTCAAATTACGTATTTTCGAGTCCAGACGTTAGTGATCGAACTATGTACTGACAAAATTTTCGTTTGTAATTCCCTTTAAAGTGGCTGGCAAGTGTAAAAGTGAGAGTTCTCGTGGTGCTGAGAAGAAAAAGACACCCATTTTAGATTTTCTAGGAATTATTTTCGCATTTTCGACCTGTCGTCGGCCCCTAACCCCGTCGTAAGTCGAGGACTGACTGTATTTTAAACATAAATTCAATTTGAAAGAGCTATTCTATAACCTTCAAATCAAATATCAGCATTCTCACTGTATTTAGAAAAAATACTGGCAACATTCCTTCCTATTCATTAACCCATAACAGACAAGTGCTGTCAAAAGACTGAAGCTCACCTTCTGGTGTACTTGCACTTTGTACAAGCAGGCTAAAAATTATACCGGGGTACTTGTCACTATGTCTGGAGAAAATAAACCACTTACAGGTATTTACCGATTTAAGATCATCCGTTTTACGATAATCCACGTTAACATTAATTAGGTTTTAACACTCTCTCACTATATACGTTAGGAAAAATCCACACTAAAAATAGTTATCATTAGGTTAACTCACTGACGCGGAATGTAAACACTGGGGAAGCGCATCTTTCCCTTCACTTATTAAATCCAAATTGGCCAATATGCTCTAATTACTTTCCCATATATCATGCAGCTCCACTTACCTGCGTCCCATCTCATGGCCACCATGCTAACTACTGTACAGTTCAGAGCTTTGTTTCAACATGATCGCATCTGGCCTCACTCGTGTAACGAAAGATATCATTAATAATCGTTGCATAACCTTGTGATTGCTGTGATACTTTGCCATTATTGGTGATTGGAAAACATTATTGTTAAAATTTTGCTGACCGAGGTGATCAGTGTAATGTAACTGTTTCTTTGAAAACATCATTGTTCCATCAACAAGAGTTCCCTAGCCTTGGAGGGGACATGTGATGATGACCAAGCTTGTTATTATTAATGTGGTCAGTGTTGTTAAATTTTTCCTGTATTTATTTAATTATTGAAGGATTATTATTTCTGGATTACATGTCTATATCGGACTGGCCAGGAATGTACCCCAGTGAAACCCATGTTAAAGGGCTCATAGTTTATGTTACGGTTTTCAGGAACACAACCCCCATCGTAAATTGGAAAATACCTATATATTAAGAAATGCTAAGTTATGTACTCTAAAAATTTGGAAAACAATTCCAATGCATTAATAACACTTAACTGAAAATCATTAGTTTATACCATGAAGCATAATAAAATATATACACAGTACTGTATATAGCTAACATTATTCAAAATATTTAGAAAGTGGTGTAGTCCATATCGCACAAGAGGTGCTTTTGTTAAATTTTTTCCGCTTAGGAAAGATTTGGGTGAGATCAGGTGTGGTGAGAAGAATAGTCGGAGGGAAGATCTCCTCAACCACAGGTCCGGAGTATACTTGGTTGATCATAGCAGCTGTGAGCTGAGATCCTGTAAAGGATTAAACAATAAATAACATGTTAGTATTTCCTTTTAATAATACTGTAAACAGAATTGGTACACTGTATATTGACAGTATCACAAGTTGTCACATCTATATTTTTACCAAATTAAATATTTTGATATGACAATACAGTACAGTATTGCATTAAGTTATTAATATCCTATTTACTCAACTCCACTTGTCTATTCTTTAGATGTTAATATTTTTCTTATATTTCTTGGAGTTTGGTGTAATGTCATAACTATCTTTGTTTTTCCCAGTAGAACTTGACTGAGACGGTCCAGTAGTTTTGGAAAATGTGGTATTAAGACCATTTTCCTTGTTATCACTTAAAGTGAATGTATGATTTAGTCCAGTTTCCTTGTTATCAGCTAGTGCAATCTGTAGGAAAATTACAGTGTGAGATATATAATCATAAGATGAATAAAAGCATTACAACATAATAATCAACAAAATACAATAGAGAATGCTGACAAACTAACCTGAGCACTGAAGCTACAGGTTCATGTGGAAAGTGGACATGAAGATGTTACTAAGGAGCTAAGAAATAATAAATTTGAGAAAAGGATTAGAGGAATACTGATGGAATACAGGCATAATAACACATTAAACAGAACTGAGCAAAAGATGATGTTATCTAAAGGAAGTTCTGCATTAATTACCAATTGTTAAATAATGCAGCAAAAGGAAAATAAGTACTTTAGTTTTTACCTTTTTAACTGCTGAGCTTGTCAATTTAGCTTGTAACTCAGCAATGCGCTGTGCTTCAAGCAATTTAAGGTATTCTAACTCCTTTTTCTCACGGGCGATGCGTTCTACCTCAGCAATTTTTCTACAAAAGAAAATTTTTCTGATATACTACAGTTTCTTCAATAACTAATAAAGCAGAATAAATTAATCATGACTTCACTGGTGCAATTAAAAACAAAAACATCAATGGAATTTTTTTTTTTAGATTTTTTTACGTGGGTTAATTAACCTACCTGTCATATTAAATATATACCGTATATATAGTGTACTATATGTATTTGTAGTACAAGCTTAAGTCTCTCATGGTTAAACATATATGGTATTATTGTTAATAATAAGAAGCATCCAATACAATATGTTGTTAAAGATTATCTAAATACAGTAGAAGTCCAAAAATCCGGACTGCTTGGGGATTGGGTCGGTCCAGATTTTCGGATTTTCCGGATTCTCAGGCAGTACTTTTAAAATTCAAATTTAAGGAGGAATAAAGAAGAGATGAACAGATACATTTTGATAGTTTATTCATTAGCAAATATAGCATGCTTCATTTATCAAAATGAGCAGTTTTAAAGAAAAAGCTGTGAATTCTAGAATTTTATTCTTTGCCTTTTTTATATCATAAATTGTAGACTTTACAATGTTGTATGTTTCCATTAGAACAGTATTGCTCACACCACGTTCTATTTTAATTATTTAAAGTTTGTCACCCAATTTCAACGTGTTCTTCTTTCTCTTCACACAACGGAGTTTATCTACTTCAGGAGCCATTATTATGGGCTCTGTAAATGGAAAGAGTAGGACTCAAAATTACATACGTTGTCACAGTTTGATTGCTCGTTTTAAAGTGGCGATCGCTTGTTGTCGCTGTGCAGCTGTGGCGCTCACGCATGCGCACATACACACAAAAGCCAGCTAAAAAAAAAAAAAAAAAAAAGTTTGAGTTTTCGAAAAGTCCGGATTCTCGGGTGGTCCGGATTTCTGGCATCCGGATTTTTGGACTTTTACTGTGCAGTGACCCCTCGGTTAACGAACTCAATTCGTTCCAGAAGGTCGTTCGTTAACCGAAAAGTTCGTTAACCGAAACCATTGTTTCAATGTGTTTTTGGGTAATTGGTTCCCAGCTCACCGAAAATTTCCTAAATTCAACAAAAATGGTAGAAAAGTTCACTTACTTTGAGGTGTGTATGTAGAAGGCTCCTGGATGATGATGATGATGATGATGGGATTTAGAATTGGGGTGGAGGAGAAGGAAGAAAAGAAGGCATTGGGGTGGAAGAGAAGTCACCCCCATGGCGCCATTTCACCCATAAAATTTTAGCTCTCTGGTGTAATTCAAGATTATTTTCTTTAAATCAACACTGCACTGCATTATATATTGTCAATATGTAAAATATATTTCAAAATGACCAATAATTTGCTTGGAAACACAGAAAAAAGCGTTTAGTTGAAGAGTCTCAAGCAAGATGTTACCTCCAGTGAAAACAGAGAGAGACAGTAACTCCTGTTTGCTGTGTTAGGAGGCTGGATGCCGCACATTAAACTAGTCACTTTACCTTCAATTATGTTCAATAATTGTTAAAATGACTAAAAATTGAATATTAAACTTTAAAATTATTGAATAGTATAAACTTCTTGATATTTACTAAAATAATGAGAATTTAAGCCCTAGAACGATTAATGTGTTAGGCGGACTGATACTAAAGCTGGTTGCCGGTCAGTGCAAAACATGTTGAGAGTAGGTTCGTAAGAACCGTTAACGTTTTTCGTTAACTTGAATTGAAAATCATATGGAAAGGCAGTTAGATTAATAAAATTCGTTAACGAGTGTTAGATTTAAGCGAGATCACTGTATATATGTGTATATATATATATATGTGTATATATATGTATATATATATATATGTGTATATATATATATATATATATATATATATATATATATATATATATATATATATATATATATATATATATATATATATATATATATATATATATATTATATATATATATATATATATATATATATATATATATATATATATATATATATATATATATATATATATATATATATATATATATATATATATATTCCAGAAGATGGTTAGTTAACCCGGCGATTAGTTAACTGAGGAAACCATTGTTTCAATGGGTTTTTGGGTAATTGGTTCCAGCTCACCGAAAATTTCCTAAATTCAACAAAAATGGTAGAAAAGTTCACTTACTTTGAGGTGTGTATGTAGAAGGCTCCTGGATGATGATGATGATGATGGGATTTAGAATGGGGGTGGAGGAGAAGGAAGAAGAGAAGGCATTGTGGTGGAAGAGAAGTCACCCCATGGTGCCATTTCACCCATAAAATTTTAGCTCTCTGGTTTAATTCAAGATTATTTTCTTTAAATCAATGCTGCACTGCATTATATATTGTCAATATATAAAATATATTTCAAAATGACCAATAATTTGCTTGGAAACACAGAAAAAAAGCATTTAGTTGAAGAGAGTCTCAAGCAAGATGTTACCTCCAGTGAAAACAGAGAGAGACTGACGCCTGTTTGCTGTGTTAAGAGGCTTGATGCCGCGCATTAAACTAGTCACTTTACCTTCAATTTCGTTCAATAATTGTTAAAATGACTAAAAAATTGAATATTAAACTTTTAAAATTATTGAATAGTATAAACTTCTTGATATTTACAAAAATAGTAAGGAATTTAAGCCCTAGAACCGATTAATGTATTGGCGGACTGATACTAAAGCTGGTTGCCCTGTCAGTGCAAGCGAAAACATGTTGAAGTCGGTTCGTAAGAAGTTCGTTAAGCGAATTTTTTTTCGTTAACCGAATTGAAGATCCTTATGGAAGGCAGTTCGTTAATCGAAATATTAACCGGTGTTAGATTAAGCGAGAATTACACTGTATATGCAAATAAATCACTGTGGGTGCGCGTGATCCAGGTATATGCTGATAACCACAAGGAAAGAAGAAAACACGAAGTTCCCAAGCGCTTTCGTGTAATTCACATCTTCAGGGGTGAGTACAGACTAAGGAGAAGTACAAAACAAGGTATATACAGAGGAGGGTGAGATCAAGTTCACAATGGTCAGGTATTAGATAATGACCCTACTAATCTTCAAAAAGCACCGCAGCAGTCAGTAGTCAGGTCAGAGGGTAAGCTGACCCAACCTTCTCACCTGGTTACAAATCTTTTTAATTACGAAATAATCCAGTTTATACATACCATTACTCAAATTCATGTTGACTGATTCGGTATGTTTAATGAGACTAGATTCTATAATGTTCCTACTGTCAATTGAATTACAAGGTAATATTGAGGAGGCATTATCCCAGTCAATGCAATGCTTATTATCCCTCAAATGAACAAACAGAGAATTGGATTCCTGGCCTGTCCTAACACTATATTTATGTTGGCCTAAGTAAAACATATTACATTCCTTGCAAGGAACCTTATAAATGCAGCCACTTGTATTGTTGGGGGGAGTTCTTGATTAACATTTGTTTAACAGTGCATGAGTTTTTAAATGCCACATTGACATTCCAGGTTTTTAGTTGTAAAAGAATTTGAGAGAAATTTTTGTGAAATGGTAATACTAAGAGATTCTTATGGTCATGGGCGGGCTTGGGATCGGTTCTATAGAAAGATTTCTTAGTAATGTTAAGGCATTTGTCTATGAAAGATCTAGGGTATATATACACACTGTCAGTTCATACTTCATGAAGTATTTTTTAAATACTTATGCGTGTGACCAGAGATTGCTACCACCATGCCACAAGGACAGTGATTTATTTGTGTATATATATGTACTGTATATATACAGGTGCTCCTCGACTTACGACCACCCGGACATACGACCACCGCAGTCATATAAAATATTTTTCAAATTACGTATTTTCAAGTCCCGAAGTTAGTGATCGCGCTGTGTACTGACAAAATTTTCGTTTGTAATTCCCTTTAAAATGGCTGGCAAGCGTAAAAGTGAGAGTTCTCATGGTGCTGAGAAGAAAAAGAGACACCCATTTTAGATTTATTATGTATTATTTTCACCTTTTCGACTTATGACCTGGTCGTCAGTCCGGAACCCCGTTGTAAGTCGAGGAGAGACTGTATATATATAAATACAGTATATACAAATATATCACTGTAGGTGCAAGTAATCAATGTATATGCTGATAACCACATATGAACAAAGAAAATACTAAGTTCTCTAGCGCTTTTGTGTAATTCAAATCTTCAGGGGTGAGTACAGACCAAGGAGTAGTCACTAGCAAGGCTAATAAATACAGTAAAGGAGTGTGAGATCAAGTCCCTGCCATATTCAAGTCATTAGTAGTGACAATATTTTCACCTGGTTACAAATCTTCTTAATGACAAAATTATCCAATTTGCTCATGCCATTCCTCAAATTCATGTTGACAAATTCAAAATGTTTAATGAGACTAGACTATAATGTTCCTACTGACGATTGAATTACAAGGTAATACTGAGAAGGCATTACAATATGAGGTTTTCAAATACAGTACAGTATAATAAATGTATTTGCATTACCGGTTCCTTTAAAATTGTATTTGTCATTCAAATACAATTCGTGCAGCTGCAACAGCATAATAGGAAGTCAAACACACACACACACATATGTTACTTTTATGTTATTTGTCAATCAGGTGATGCATTCTCCAATTATGTACCTGAGGAACAGTGGCCAGTACGACCTGTGGATGACGAGGACAACCACAATGACCCCAACTCCGAGTTTTCTTTGTCTAATTAAGGAAAGCACTACTGATTCCAAAACTTAAAATCCTAAAAATAGCTGGATAACGGAAACGATAACTTTACCTAGGTTAGGTTAAGTTTTGTTAGGCTAAATGTGATTAGCGGTAGAAATGAAGGACAGATGCATTCAAAACATAAAAAAACAACAGAAAAACTTAATTTCAACTTCAAACAACTTAGAGAAAATAAGACGATTTTCCTCTTTTTTGCTATTTTCTCTTAAAAGTATTCATGAGCGGAAGAAATGGCATAAAAAAGGAGTCTTAGAATTGTCTAAACTACGGATTCCAAAACTTAAAATCCTACAAATCGCTGGATGACCAAAACGAGATTGTTACGGTAAATGACTTGAATATACCAGGGGGATGG